GTACTGGAACAGGCTGCCCAGAGAGGTTGTGGATGCCCCGTCCTTGGAGGTGTTCAAGGCCAGGTTGGATGGGGCCCTGGCAGCATGGTTTAGCATTAAACGTTGGAGGTTGGTGGCCCTGCACGTGGCAGGGGGGTTGGAGATTCATGATCCTTGAGGTCCCTTCCAACCCTGGCCATTCTGTGATCCTGTGATTTCTGTGACGTGGTGTCTCTGTGAGCAGCTCCCAGCACTGCAACTTTGTGCTTTCAAAGCAAGAAGCTGGAGGACAGCACCGCAGCAATGTCTATCACATGAGCACACAGCACACAGAGCTACGCCCCAGTTCAGACTGTGTTAGGTCTTAAGAGCCGTTAAAACCATTTCTTCCTTAACTGAGGGCAGTGGAATTCCAAGGTGAGGTCAAAAGCCCAACAAAAGCAGCTCGGGGCAGTGCCTGGCAATAGTGCTCAGAGGCAGCTCAGGGTCTCCTCCCCGTTGTTATTTCACCACCCTTGTATCCTAAGCACTACAAAGGAATCCTGCCATCAGCTGTGGACCTCAAAGAGGAATTTCTGTCCTTTCAGATAGACATTTACATTGTTGTTTCCTTTCTTTTGGTTCATTAGAAGAGCTTAAAAAAACAAAAAAACAAAAAAACAAAAAAACATTTCTCCCCTGTAGGGCTGAGCTATTGATACACTGTTTTGGTAGGAAACTGCACGATCTACATCCACCATCCAAACAGCAAGAGAAATTACCTAACCTCAAACATACACAAGGGAAATCCTGTGGGCTTGGATCATTCAAGAAAGAAGGTTGCTTTACAGCTACAGGAACAACACACGTCCAGAATGGGCTCTGTGCTGCTAAGATGCAGTTTGAAAAATCAACTGCCCGTTGTTTCTGCTATTTGCATTTTATATTAAAAAATCTCCCAAAGACTTCAAGAGCCAGAGCTCAGCCTGGAAAGGATTTTTATGGTTGCACTGCTAACCCACGGAAAGCAGGGATCTCAAATGGAAAGAGGCCATGACAGCAGACATCACTCCCTGGCCCTGCCTGAAGCAGCTGGGATGATCTCTCCAGGTAACCAAATCACTGCTACTAAAACCCATGTTGACATTGAAAGAAATCTGGAGAAGATGCCAAGTCATCACTCTTCTTCCCATGTAACAAGATAAGAAGCACGTTGATTTAAGAGTTTCTAAGTAAGCACTTGAAATTCGAGTAAACAGATTTTAAATATCAAGACCCTATTTACATTCCAGTGTAATAATTAAATATTTAATATCTTGTGGTGCCAGCATTCGAGGTTTTTCTAAGCACCAAAATATTTTGTCATGTAAAAAACATCTGTAGCAGCTGGAAGACATCAATTTGGCTTACAAAGATTTGCTAGTTTAAATACACATAAATAAAACGTTCATTTTATTTCCAAAAAGCTAACACTGCTTGGTTTAGTTTTATTAGGGTGCTTAGTGAATAATGCTTAATACTGGCAGGGTGTATCAGATCCTACAGTGGTACAAACGCACACAGCTATCTGTTAACTCAAATAAGTCTTGTGTTTAGTTAGAGCTGGTCTGTATTGACTCACCCGAATCACGCAGAGCAATAGGAAAACCAGCTTGCTAATAGTTGAACTCCTAGTTGTATTCTTTCTCCTAGGTTCCCAAGTTCCCAGCACTGAAATCTTAAAAAAAAAACACATTGACAAGATGAAACTTCTCTTCTGAGCTGGGATTCGGATACCCATGGTACAGAACTCCAGTGTCTGCGTGCCTTTTCCCCCCAAAAAGCTCCTGCCTAATCTTAGTGCAGCGTTTTAAAAATAAATCAAGTAAACAAGGGGCACTGCTGAGATCATAAAAGGAAGTTGAATTTGGCTTCGTACTCACAGGGATCACCTTTCTGGGCAACAGTTTGTAAAGGGTTATTTATTAGCCACTCATTTTACTTCTGCTGGAAGATGCTGAGGCTTCGGTGAAGTTTCTGCAGAGCACGCAGCAGCATTCAGCGTTTGTTCAGCTAATGGTTAAATCGCTTCAGCTCTCTGATGACTTCAAGATTATGGGTGTAGGAAAAGGGAATGCTCAGCAAGGGGAACTTTCAGCCACCACCAAACTGTGGTTAAAACAGACACCAATGACTCCATTCAGCTCCCAAACCTCAGACAGTTTCCATTTTCTCAATAACAAAGCATTTTTGTGGGGTGAGGTAACAGGCCTCCATCTGCCAGGTCTAACTCTGCTGTGATCCCTTCCGAGCGTGGCTGAGTGAGGCCCTGGGGCCAGCAAGCACAAGGCTGGCGTCCCAGAACCCAGGGACAAAGGGACAGACGTCCAGAAGAGCCTCCTGGGATCGTCCCACTGGTTCTGCTGGTAGACGTGGCAAAAAGAGCCTCGGATGGGCTCCAAGCAGAGCACAGCTGGAGGGCTCCAAGGGCTGAGGAAGGAGCAAGACTTTTCAGTGAGGCTGGGCTGGAGCAGAAGGCGAATGGATGCTGGGGGTTCAGCGGTCGGCCATCCATCAATGCAGACAGACACACGGAGCACCGGGGTTTGGAAGCAATGTGGGTCTCTGAGCACACATTACAAGACACAGCACAAACAGATGTAGCCTCCCCACAATAAAATGCTTCAGGGATCACCATGCGGGCAGGGCTGTTCCACAGCAAACTGCTGAGCTGAGCCTCAGAGCAGAGGGCAGGAAGGATTTTGGTTCTGCTCTTGCTTTGTTTCTGCATTTGGCAGCTTGTATATCAGTTCCAGGAGCACCATTTGTTTCACTTCAGCTCAGCTCCTCTTACGAGCAGACCCTTCATGCAGTCCCATGAAGCCTCCCATCAGGAAGCAATGGGGGTCTCTGTGCCCAATTCTTTCCCATCTCTTGTAGCTTGGCCATCCAACCTGCCTAAGGATGGAGAACACACAGCAAAAGGCTCCCTTGTGCAAAGGTAAAACCCTCAGAACAACATGGCAGTGAGCTTGGAGGGAGAGGTTGCTCCACAGCGTGCAACACTGGGAAAGGAGCTTTATTGAGTATGTGAATCTTCTGATCTTCTGTTATGTTTCGTCTTCTTTTTTTTCTTCCCTCTCTGTCCCTGCATATAGAAGTCTTTAAAAAGCAATGCAGGAAATTGTGCCAGACACAGCAGCAGCTGGTGCAAATGGACGAGCAGCAACTTGGGCAGGTCAGGACATCCTGAACACAGCTCAGCTCCAACTTGTGTAAATAGCACTGCCAAGGGCTCTTATTCATCCCACTCGGATCCCTCATTCTGCCTGTGCAACAGATGGCAGCTGAGCACAAGTTTTAAGAATGTCAATTCAGAGGGATTAGGAAATATTTACAGAAAATCCATCCTGATTGCATTATTTTAGTCTGGTACGTCAGGTTTTATATTTACAAGGACAACAACAAAGATTCCCAAGCTGAAACTGCCCCAAAGGCATTTTGCACAAATTTAATTGAAATACACAACCTCCAGACCTATGACATGACTGCAATACAAAGCAAGACATAAACGAGGACAGAAATAACCAGCAAACCTGTACAAACACATGGAGCGGCTCCAACTTTTCTCTCAACTCACCTGCAACCCAAATTGAGCAACGTGCTAATCAGAGAAACTTCACTCCCAGAAACGCCAATTTGCTAAACCTTAACCCTTATTTCTGCAGGTCAGACAGCCTCCATTTCATGCACAGATGCAAACCAAGGAGAAGCTTCTTAATGTCAGAAGATACAGAAAATACTTCCAGCTCTGCTGCTACTTTCCCTGACTGGTCTTGCTTCCTATACATCCAAGTCTTCCCACTGGCTAAAGCAAAGGCAATTCTTCAGCTGGTTTGGTGAGGGCCTTTGCATTGCTGCGGCTGTTTGTCCTGAAGATTTGAAAATGTTAACATTGATCTCATTGCTGCCTGGTTTTAAATCAGGTACCTAGATGGATACCTGGAGAACTCAGCCAGCAAGCAGCTCCCTGGCCTTTCCCAGCCACGACAAGACATTTCCCAAGTCTTCCTCTGAAGAATGCTGCTGTCACATCTCAAAAATCCACACTGCTAACACTGGCCCAAGTGCAAGGTCAGCCAAAGAGGACTTCCATCAGAGATGGGCTCTGCTGGAGAAGGCTCCCTGGAGACCGTAAGAATAGCACACTTGATCCCAGATGGCAACAATACGCAGTGCACATTTCCAGCAAATGCAGGGATGGGGCAGAGGACCATGCAAACCGACCAAAGGCCACCCTGCTTTCTGCCATCTGCTCGCTAGATGCAGAAGCCTCAGCCGAGGCCTTTGGGAAAGGTCAGCAGAGGCTTAAAGGCTCTCAAGATATTGCTTTTGTTCTCACTGTTAGCTTCTCAATTCCTTTGTTAAAAGATACGGATCTCTCTGTAAGGCACTTATTTGGAGCCAAGAGTTTAGATATTATTGCAAAACATACGCTTAAAAGAGACTGGAAATGATGTTGGCAGTGTTACAGAGGGGAGCGAAGCACAGCTTTGGGTCAAAACGAAAAAAAAATAAATCTAAGCTAGTAAGCAATTCCCATGTGATGGCTTAGAAGAGCCAGCAAAAGCTTCTTCTAGAAAGAAAACAATACTGTGAGAACGAAGCTAACAAGAGCTGGCTCTTGGAAAAATAAAAGGCCAGCAACAAGCCAGAGCATTGCCAACAGCACATATCCAAGAGAATCTTTCTGGGAAACCAGCTCAAGTCATTGCACTGGAGAGCCCTGAGGGACTAGGGACCTCGAGGCTAAATGCTGGCAAATTGCTTCATCAGTTAAGGTTGGTTCCAGTGTTTTCTACTGCGTAAGAATAATTTGTTTTAGCCTACGGGTCTCTACAGAGCAACGGGTGAATTCAGGCTGCTTCCTCTGGGAAAGGGAAACGAGGTGCTCAGCAAAGCCCTGCTCACATGGGACATTTCTGGGAGGTTTCCCACCATCCCTTCAGCCCACCCTGTCAGCTTTGCTCTGCATTACCCCTCATGCCCCTTTGGCCACTTACCTGCTGGGAAACCCCCCAGCTGCTTCTGCCAGCTCTCCACCAGCAAGAGTTGCCACAAAAATAGGATTGCTGTGCCTCCATAAAAGCATCTTCTGAAGACTCATTCACCCCAAATGGATGAAGTCAGAGCAATTATTCTGATGCAGCTTGTTTTCCAGAGGAATGAAGAGGAGACCATGCTCTGTCTATCTCCGAGAGAGATTAGCTAATCCATCAGGAAAGAGACATACTGATGCAGAGAGATAAGGGCAAGGCTTTTGTCTGAGGTCTTCTCTTTCATTTCCAGTCCACTTACTCATAGTCACAGGAGTATGCAGAGAGTACAGAGACAACAAATGGCATCTCTAAACATCCTTCTGCACCAGCAGAGAAAAATCCTGTGCTGGCAGGGGATGGCAAGGCACTACTTAACGACCTTCCTCCTCTTCCAACCCTTTCTCTGATTCATGTTGCCACCTTCCTTCCAACTGACCTAAATAACATGTTCAGGCAGCACTGGAAGTATTTCCGCCTCATACTTCAATAGCAGCAAGATCTCCACATCTGGAAAGGGTATTGCTCAGGAAAGTCACACCACAGGTGGCTTAAGAATGCCTTTCCCAAGAAAGGAAGAGAATCATCCTGTCTTGTCTCATTGCAGCAGTAAGGCTTCCTGGTTGCAGGAGAACAAAAGTTGCCCAGGAGCACAGAAAACAATTGTGCTGCTTGTGCCCGAGCCCCAGCTAATCTGAACAATGTGGGCAGAGTATTCAATTACCTCATTTCCAGGTGTGCTGTCAGCCTGAGCCACGATTGGCTTGGGATGAAAGAGGAAAAAGCTGCTCCTAGATCTGGACTTGTCTGCATCATTTGTGGTAATTATTGCCCAGCAGCCTGTAATCTTTTCATGTCATATCGCACTCTCAGCCCTCGGTCTCTCTCTACAAACTTCTGATCCCAGAAGAGGCTGAACATCAGAGTGCAGGACCCAGTAGAGCAGCAGGCACACCAGCCCCAGAAAGGAAAGCAAAGCAAGTTACACTGCAAGGACCTGAGCAGTTCAGTCAGCTTCAGATACAAAGCGATTACGTGTGCTAACAACATCCAAGCACTTGAAGCAGATGCGTGTCCAAACACTTATTCTACCTGTCCAGCTATTAATTTCAACTCTTGTAAAAGAACACAGCATTCCATGGGAATCACAGGAATACAGGGAGAATCCAACCCCTATCACTGCATGGTTGTTTCACACTGAGTTTTTTTTGACGCTCTCCAAAACTCTTTCTCTACCACAAGTTCAAGTAGCTGTGATAGCACGTAGATATCCCACCTCTGCAGCACCCCAGACTTCTGATCAACATGCTGTCTTGCAGCAATGGCCTTCATTGGCTGTGCACTGAGTAGCTGAAAAAGTAAAAAACCCACTGACAATGTATTTCTTGTCACAAGGAAACGTACTGTTGGAGAATACAGGAAAGGGCTCCAGAGCTGCCACACAGATCCTGGGAGATCAATTTCTTCTTCAAAGTCCTCCTATACAGGAGAAAGGAGGTATACTTGATCCGTACCACCTCACTGTCAGGTAAATTGAGCTTCAAACACTAAAGGAGAAAACAAGCAAGCAAAACCCACACATCTTTGTGCTGCAGCATGACTGTTTAGTCCATAACAGCTATCTACTATCTCTACATTTTTTATTAGCTCATGTTTACTTTGGCTGCACATCCAAGCAGTCATTTAACCAGGGTGAGAGAGGAAAATCTTGGACTCTTAACAATGGCCAAGCAGTTTAATCTGCCGCTGGGGACGATGACTTGCCTCCTATTGGTGTTTAGTACTGGCAGGGTCAAGCGTAACATGTGGTGAAGGAAGCACTAGGGAAGCAGATCTGCAGCCATTCCATCAACACTGAGCATTTCCTTGAGCTATTCAGAGGTCCCTTTCCTCCCTGTGAGCAGAGAATGGCTCCAGCTGTCCAGTCACCTGCACTGGCTTCTCTGCTCACAGGATTTATGAGCTTAGGGGCCACGAACAGCTCAGGTTGGATGCAGCACATTCCTCTGGCTTACAGCTTAGATGCTCAGAACCCAGCTAGAAAGCAGTTAAGATTATGTCCTTGGATGGTGCTGGAAGCTGATTTCTGCTCCCAAACTTGAGTGGCACTGGGCAGACTGGGCATAAACATCACCCAGCTTTTGTCCAGCAATGACCCTAGTCAAAAGTAGCTGATTTAAGGATTGTTTTTTATTAGAAAATCTCAAAGTGCTTTATATAAAATAAGTCTCAAACTTGCAAGCCTGTTATCATGTGCAGTGATACGTTCAGAGCCAAAACAGAAAGTCAAAGAGATGCTGAGTAAGAGCAAGAACATGAATTTAGGATCTTCATTGCATCTCTACTTAGACTCCATGCTAAGCTATTTCCAAATAACTCTCCCTTAAGAATTTTAAGACTATTAGCTTATTCCTAATGTCCTTGTCCTGTTTCATCCCAGAGTAATACCATCCCATCAGTGTGTTCCTATTGACTAAGGGCAGAATCATTTGTTAAAGCTGTCCTCTGTTTAGCAAACACCAGCAGACACCAAGTGACTCACACAGCAGAGGCAATTCTGCAAGGATGAAATACAGGAAGGTGGAAGCCGTGTGGCATTCTTCAGTTTCCCTTTTTTTTGCAATCAGACCCTTGATATTTTCTTCAACAGGAAAGCTGACACTCCCCCTTCCCTGCAAACTGCTGACAATTGTATTTTACACCTGGCAAAGCCAGAGCAAAACGGAAAGGAAAGGAGAAACAAAGAACAAGGACTTTTCTTAGCAACTACATCTCCCTAGAATGGAACATTTTTCTTTCTGACTGCTGCTGAATACACGTTACTTATTAATGGATAAAGTCCAGTAACGACACATTAGTCATTACAATAAATGGCACCTCTTCTCTACTGAGCACCCACAGCACAGAGCGCACGACTGAACCCAGCATCCCCACCAGAACCTGCAAATCTGTGCAGCTGAATCCCTTCACTTGCCAAACTCTCAGCCCTTGCCCCTGAACATCCTAGGCTTCAGAAGCAAGCCTAAGTTCTCAGTGTTAACCTGAAGATTAAATAATACTGGTAAAGTTTTTCTGTCCTCTGACAATTGGTCTTCTCCTTGCTGCAGCTGGTATCTATTGTTAGAGGTGCTCTTTCTGTTCTCATCCATTTACAATTGTTCTGATGGCACCAACAGACAAAATGTTGCTCTCTCTCCACTCTTCCAGCCAGGATCTCAAAACTGCAGCTGTATCAGCAGGAAGAGTCAAAACCTATAAGGAACGAGGAGCCACGAGCTGCACTCCAGAGTGGAAAGCTGAGCAGAAGTGGCAGTGCCAGAGCAAGCTGGTGCTCTGCAGTGGGCACAGGCAATGAGTGTCAACCAGGGATACCAAGCAGCAGGGGAGAAATGACTTCCTTATATGAGCAATTACCAGAAATTATGAAGCTGTTTGTCCAGTAAAAAAAGCTTGGCTTCCATTCAGACCAAGCAGCCAGTCAGTCCCCAGTTTTCTGTAAATATATATATTTGTCTATGGAAACTTTCTGACATGAAAGGTGAGGCAGAGGAAAAAAGGTTTATACTCGTGTCTCTCCTGAGGCTACTGATGCAATTAGGGTTCTTCAAGCATGACCTCATGCAAGCTAAGCACAGTGAAAATCCCACAGACACGAGCAAGAACCCCAGCAGGCCACTGTAAAAACCTTGCGTGTCACTGCTGTGATTACCATAAAAGTCCCTTTCCTGGGAGAGGGGGAGCAGGAATCATTTGAGCACTAAGAATAACCAATTTGTTCCATTTTCCTGCTCGTACTGCAGAAAACAGCAGGTCGTGTAACAGCATCAGCCAGGCTACAACTGGGAACACAGCAGAAAGCATCTTGCCTCATAGCACAAGCAATAGAGCGAGTCCTGGCTGTGAACTATACCGAGTGCTTCCAAAAGTGGTGCGCTGGGAATTCCAGTAACCTGCCCACAGAGATGTTCTTCCTGAGTCTGACATTTAAAGGTTCATTGCTGTCTCGAAGCTGCCTGGTCCAAAACGTGTACAACCCTCAGAAACCTACTGTCCAGTGACCGCTGTCTACAGCCAGACAAGGCTCGTGCTCTATAGGAAAAAAAACCACGTGTGAGAAGGGCAACTGCCTTCCTTCCCCATGGGGACCTCGGAGCTCTGAGCCTCCAGCTGAAGCAGTGTCCTCAGTCAGCGTGGCTGCTTCAGAGCCTGTTCTCAAACCAACTGCAGTGTAAACAGGAAACTGAGCTGACAGCAGACGTGCTACAGATGGCTGCAAATCCTTCACAGGGAACGGCAGTGACCTCCCACTCTCCTACAGACCCAGCAACCAGTCTGGCCCTCAGCACACAAGCTCTGCAGATGCTATTCTGAAGGCAGGGGAGATGCCCAGGTTTTCCACCAAGAGACATCCAACATGGAGCAACAGTGGTGCCCCAGCAGCTGGGACTGTGGAACTGTTCCCAGGGCATCCTGCTGGGGAACTGGAGGTATTTCCAAGCACCGCCCTGCCTTCAGCTGTGGCAGGGCTGTGTCACCAGCCTTAAGAGTATACAAAATTACAGTCCTAGCTGGTAAGAACGAAACCAGAGCTCTGAACTCTGAGCTATTAAAACTTCTAAAGAAGAAGAGAGCAAGAGAAGGAGGAAACCATGTGGTTTCCATCCCAGGAAAAGAATGGCACAAAAATAAGATGGGAGAAAAAGTCAGACTTCCCTTTCTCTACCATCCTGCTGATGGCGCATCAGGAAGTTAAACAACATTTTGACAAAGCAAATTAGGGAAATAAATTAGGCAGTTTTCAACACCTTTGTGAACACCAGGAAGATACTGTTTTGTTTCAAAGGCAGGTTTTTAGAAACTGGATGCTCCTGAGGAAATACACAAGAAAAGGCTTCTCAAAAGTGAACAGAATTTGACAGTCACTTATTTGTAGCAGCTAGAAGAACCGTAGGTTTCTAAAGCCACCCTGGATGAGGTATTACCTGTGCTCCTATAGTAGGTGTTCTGATTTATGATTTTCGAAACAGGGAAACAACGAATGTATGAAACTCCAATTAAGCAGAGAGACACCAGCACCAAAGCCTGCACTACGAAGACGAGAAACCACAACCAGGTGCCATCTCCTTCAGCTAACGTGCTCCATCCAGGTTAACTGTAAGCTAAACCAACATTCCCATGAATTCTCATAACAGAGACAAATTCATTAACATAACCACAAGTACAAGATACATACAAAGCTAGAAACTAAACCAGAAAACCTTACCTGTAAGGAAACATAAGGAGCCGAAACCAAACCGTGCTCAGTAAAACGACGGCGTTTTGCAACGACACGAAGCCGTCTCACAAAGAAGCGAGGTGCCAGCTGTGACTGCTGGAGGTTTTGTTTAACAGAAGAAAGCAGAGGAGCTTTACTCCAAACCAGCCCCGGTACTCACTGCACACAGAACGTTCCTCTATACCGAACGTGAGCATTGGCTTTCGCTTTGCCTCAGAGTTTATAAGCCGGGTAAAGTTTCAGCGCTTTCTTAATGAAACCCACATTAAGCACCGCATCTTTACAGCCTGGCAAAAGGAAGCGGCGGAAAGACTTCATTGGTGCTTTCAGAGAACAAAACCCACCGAGTTGATCCGAAGGGGCTCCTTCTGGGGCGATGCAAA